TGGCAGCAACTCAATGCATTTAGGCATGTAGACATGGTCAAGGCGATCTGCTGCAGTTCAAACTGACCATCAGAATGGTTGGTGCCAGACGGGCTGGTCTGAGTATTATAGAAACCGCTGATCTACTGAGACGCACAACCATCTCTAGGGTTTGCAGAGAAGGGTGCAAAAAGAGAAAATATCCAGTGAGCGGCAGTTCTGTGGACGCAAATGCCTTGTTTATACCAGAGGTCAGAGGAGAATGGCCAGTCTGGTTCAAGCTGATAGAAAGACAACAGTAACTCAAATAACAACTTGTCACAAACTAGGTATGCAGAAGAGCATCTCTGAATGCACAACACGTCCAACATTGAGGCAGATCGGCTACAGCAGTCTAAGACCACAGCAAGTGCCACTCCCTGTCAGATAAGAACAGAAAACTGAGACTACAATTTGCACAGGCTCACCAACATTGGACAATAGAAGATTGAAAAAAGTTGCCTGGTCTGATGAGTCTCGATTTCTGATGCGACATTCAGATGGTCGGGTCAGAATTTGGCGTCATCAACATGAAAGCATGAATCCATCCTGCCTTGTATCAACGGTTCAGGCTGGTGGTGGTGGTGTAATGGTGTGGGCGAGATTTTCTTGGCATACTTTGGGCTCATTAGTATCAACTGAGCATCGTGTCAACGCCACAGCCTTCCTGAGTATTGTTGCTGACCATGTCCATCCCTTTATGACCACAGTGTACCATCTTCTGATGGCTGCTTCCAGCAGAATAACGCGCCATGTCATAAAGCGTGAATCATCTCAGACTGGTTCCTTGAACATAACGATGAGTTCACTGTACTCAAATGGCCTCCACAGTCACCAGTACTCAATCCAATAGAGCACCTTTGGGATGTGGTGGAATGGGAGATTCGCATCATGGATGTGCAGCCGACAAATCTGCAGCAACTACATGATGCTATCATGTCAATATGGAGCAAAATCTCTGAGGAATATCTCCAGTACCTTGTTGAATCTATGCCACAAAGGATTAAGGCCGATCTGAAGGCAAAAGAGCTCCAACTTGGCACTCGTAAGGTGTACCTAATAAAGTGGCCGGTAGTATAATTCAATCGTTTGAAGAATATTTGTACATTTTAAAATATAAACAGACCAAATACCAATTCTAATAATAAAAACGATGGACTTGAGTACCAAGCTCTCTTCAGCATAGCAATGCCTAGAAATTCATTTAAAAAAATGGTATGCACCTCAGAGGTAGCAACAAAATGTCAAAGCTACCCACCAACATCATCATCCTCACATTGTGCACAGTGACTTTTGTACTTTCGAGCAGCTCTTCTTCCCAGTATGTTTGAAATCTGGTTTATTTTGTCATGCAGCGTTTAACCGAGTTTTTTAAAGCGGTGAAGTGGCGAGTTCACAGGAAGCTCAGAAGTGCTCCAGCTCTTTTGAAACACAATGAATGCTACAGTGAGGTGCACTGAATGTCTAACAGAGGCCGCTGCTCGCTCAAATGCATTCTGCACACGTACTCTGGCTATTCTACTTCCTGTCTCGTTTAGGAGGGAGCTCTGGTTCCTCTACATTTGTGTGTTGAGCTGCTGTACTTGATTTGCATTTAAGACATTGTCTGCTAAGGTTTAGCTTTTCAGACTTTATGGTGTTGCACAGAAGAAGGAAAAAAGTACATTTTCCATTTGCATGAATTAGCCTGACACACATATAATATAATTATATAATAATAATAATAATAAATAATATAATACCACTAATACTGAAATGGATAAGGTGTTTTAGAATGACCAAATCAACATTTTAGATGTTTTACAAAGTGCCCAGCTTGCTGGTTTGTCCGTTCACACACATTTTTATCACCACATGATTATTACAGCAAAATCACATGACTTTTTTTTATATGCGAACTGGAATTTGTTCGGTAGAAGTGTTTGCATTGTAGTTCATGCACATCTTATCGAATAAAAAGTTTATCCGACTCAGTTATTTTCAAAATTTATGCGCATCTTGCCATTTTCATCAACCATTTTTATGTGCATCTCCAAAATGTACATCCACCAAGCTTATTTTAAAACATTAAAAAAGTTACATGGTAGTGTGAATGAGTCTTGACAGAGTTTGTGCATATAGGCAGGTAGTACACAGAGAGATTGTGTATGGCCGAGAGCACTTGACATTAGTGTCTGTTGTGAGAGAAGATGAGATAAGTAGAAAGAGGAGGATTAGATGCATCTGTCCAGCTCATCAAACCCTCTTTTGTCTTGTGAACTGACCACCGTTTGTTCTGCTGGAAGCTGGAGCAAAGCACCAGCGAAATGTATGTTTCCTGCCGTGTGTGTTTCATTGTTTCGTTTGCATGGAAAGATCTCAGTCTGAGGAGGATCATATCAGCACTATTTGTTTTTGTTTTGTGACTATTAAACAAGACATAAAAGGGATTTTCCAAAAGGATATCAAGTTGGATGAGGCTTTGTTTTTGTCTGTTGGGATTTGATTTGATCATGAAATGTTTAACTATGATGTTATTAGGCAGGATTTTGTTCTGCACCCTTGACTTGAAGTATTTTACTTTAGCACGCAACCAGTCCTGCAGCGTTTGCACAACGAATGTAAACCATTTATATTTTAATATACTTTATTTCTTTTAATATGTGAATTTCTTGCCTTATAGATGAAAAACAAGCCAAAAAATAAACAAGTGAAATGTGGAAACTGAAGTTCTAACAGTATTTTTCATTAATTTTCTTTAATTCTGTAACTGTCACTATTAAGTTTACTTCACATTATTGCAACTAATTCCTCATCTAATCATGACAAACTATATATCATTGAAAAGGACTAAGTCTTCTTAATACATACTGTACCACTGTTTTGAGATTTTGGTAATCTAGGATAAGTAAGAGATCAAAATCCATTTACTGTCACCACTTTTTAAACCATGGGACCATTTACGATTACATATTTAAACCGTAATATTGTAATCTAAACATAAAGCAATCAGGACAAACTACATATCATTTATTAGCTTAGAATATCATGTTTCCATATCTGGTGATTTCTGATAGATAATACTAAACAACAGTTATTTAATAATCTACAACAAGAATACTCATTAAAAAACATTACTTTGCTACAGCAATCCACATGTAAACATATTTTTAGATGATTTTCTAGGCTAAGTTCAAGTCAAATACCACCAAACTGACCATTCTACTCTAGAATGTGATGTCTATTTTATACATATTGTCAAAAGTATGAAATATTATGGTTCAAAACATACACAGAAATAGGATGAGCCCTTATATGGTCACCAATTTAAACTGAATGTCAACTTGTGGTGACGTTTGGTACTGCGGCTAAACTAAATTTCACTGAAAGCTCATGTTTTGGGATATCACGTTTCTTCATATATTCAGCTTTGATTTTCTGTCCAATTTGAGCTAAAACAGGTTTTGTAAATTTATTTCATAATAATATAGAATATTTAAAATATTACATAAAATAGTTTATGCATTGTATTGTTTTGTTGATTTCACAAACTTAAAGGCACATAACTTTTATTTAATTTAGCTTTTTAAATGATTTTTTACTAGAGCTACAATCTGATGAGTCTCTTATTTAAATGGCTAAGCTTAAATCTCTGCACCAAACCATTAAAGATTGGCAATTATTTAAGTTTAACATGTCATTTTCAAAAAGTGGATGGCAGCAGTTAAGGACATTGAAGATGAACATTTGCTCAGACTCTTTAAGATATAGGTGACTTTTTTGGTACATAGAACATTATTTACAATATTTATTTTAGTTTTTTTGTCAAAAAAAACATTATAAAAGTGTTAAATGTCACTGATTTACTTTTATTGATTTTAAATTATAGTTTGTTTGTGCAATACTGTTGTTTTTACTAACAAAAAAAATTAATTCTTGATTTCTTTAAGTCAAAGAGTTTATTGTTTCCAAAATAAACCAAAAAGTTTCCAAATTATTACATTTTTATAAATCTTTGCAGATTTTAATTCTTGCCAACAAAATGGCAGCCTGTTAAAAAGGAATGTGACTTTTCCAAAAGGATGTTCCAATCTTAAATGACGCTGGGGAAAAATATTGTGGTTTTAATTGATTTTTATGGGGACTAGGGTTGTCATACTGGAATTCAGTACCAATTGATACAAAAAAATTTAAAAAGCATTTTAAAAGGAGCATTTTAAGCCCTGATTCATCGGCTGATCGGTCTCATGTCAGCTTATAGACAAACCAGCTGATCGACCTGACTTTGAAACGCTCCAGTTTCCCTGTTTCTGTGGTACACTCCGTAAACAGCGGTGAGTTTGATAAACTAATGACCTTCACAGCCAACCAGTCATTTCTGTTGAGCATGTGAACACAATAGCAAATCAGCGATGTTTAAGAACGCTCTTAAATGTTAGTAGGAAACGGACATTTTCAAAATTTCTGTATCGATTGATGCTGAATGTCAGTACCGTGACAACCCTAATGGGGACATATTTGTCCTTTAGGTCAAGAGTGTAACATTTTTTGTACTGCATGTAGATATAGATTGTAGTACAGATTTATTAAAGGAAATGAGGGTGAATTAATAACATTTTAATACAAATACAACATTTTAGCAAACAAAACAAACATTGTTTGTATTGACATCTAATAATATCACAAAATGTAAAAAGAAAGACAAAAATGTCCATACAGATCCACAAGAAGGATTGTTCGAGGCATTTCTTTAATAATTTTTCATCATCTGTGTGGCTTTAGTTACATCAGCCATAAAGTAGTTTCAAAGCCAAAGAAAGTTATTACATTTTAATTGAAAATTATGTTTTTTCATGTCTGTTTGTTTTTGCGTGGAATTTAGCTCCGGGACACTGAATCCGATTGCAAAACTAAAACATCATCTAAAAGCTTCAGCTCAAGTGTGCAGTGTTGAAACTATAATGGGAGTATTTTTAAATGGACTTCCTGTGCTCTCTCACCAGGCTAATATTGGACAAATGGACACAGCCAAGGATATGTGGAAAATGATCATGGGAAACCTCGCGCTAATTCAGGTTGGAGACCTTCTAAAAATATCAATCCTGTTTGTCTAATGTACAGGGCAAGCGTCCAGTTCACAAAGGCTTTGTTCAGGCCAGCCACAAAAATCTGATTATTTGGCAATTCTTACTGTGAAATAAACAAGCAGATTAGATCTGATGTTTACATGCCAGCTCTAAATCCATACATGGCTTATTTTGTAAATCAGTTGAAATGATTTCGATTTTCATATCTAAAAATGAAATCTAATTTAAAACCTCACTTATCAGAAAGTTTGAAATAGATTTTATTTATTTTTCAGGTTTTATTTAATATACACTTTTAGTAGCGCTGGGCAAAGATTAGTTGCGATTAATTGCATCCAAGATATAAATTAGTTTTTACATTATATAAATGTGTGTATTATATATATTTCTTATGTTTATGTGATACACACACATACACACAGTTGAAATCAGAATTTTTAGCCCCCCTGAATTGTTTGCCCCCCCTGTTTATTTTTCCCCAGATTTCTGTTTAACTGAGAGCAGATTTTTTCAACACATTTCTAAACATAATAGTTTTACTAACTAATTTCTAGTAGCTGATTAATTTTATCTTTGCCATGATGACAGTTAATAATATTTGACTAGATATTTTTCAAGACACTTCTATACAGCTTAAAGTCACATTTTAAGGCTTAAATAGGTTAATTAGGTTAACTAGGCAGGTTAGGGTAATTAGGCAAGTTATTGTCTGATGATGGTTTGTTCTGTAGACTATCAAAAAATATAGCTTAAAGGGGTTAATAATTTTGACCTTATAATGTTTTTTTTTTTTTTAATTAAAACTGCTTTTATTCTAGCCGAAATAAAGCAAATAAGACTTTCTCCAGAAGAAAAAATATTATCAGACATACTGTAAAAATTTCCTTGCTCTGTTGAAAATCATATGGGAAAATATTTAAAAAAAGAAAAAAAATTCAAAGAGGGGCTAATAATTCTGACTTCAACTGTATATGCCTGTGTGTGTGTGTGTGTATATATATATATATATATATATATATATACACACACACACACACACACACACACACACACACACACACACACACACACATAATAAATATAAACAGTACTCACACTTAAATTGTCAACACAAACTTTAATTTAGGATTAATTATAATGTTTGCCCATCACTAGTTTTTATTAGTAACTGTTTTTTTTTTTTTTTTTTTACCATGCCCAATTTTGTAGTTTATTTCATTTTTATATTTAGCTATGATATAGTATTAGTTGATTATAGTACTTAAAATGAAATCTACAACTACCTGACAAAAGTCTTGTCTTCGATCCCAGTCGTAAGAGCAACAAATAATAACTTGACTTCTTGTTGATCATTTGGAAAAGTGGTAAAAGGTAGATTTTTCAGATGAATCATCTGTTGAACTGCATCCCAATCATCACTGATACTGCAGAAGTCCTACTGGAACCAGCATGGACACAAGATTCTCATAGACATCAGTCAAGTTTGGTGAAGGAAAAAAAATGGTTTGTGGTTACATTCAGTATGAGGGAGTGCGTGAGATCTGCAGAGTGGATGGCAACATTAACAGTCTGAGGTATCAAGATATTTGTGCAGCCCGTTACATTACAAACCACAGGACAGATAGCGCTCCTTCTCATACTTCAGCCTCCACATCAAAGTTCCTGAAAGCAAAGAAGATGATGGTCCAAGATTGGCCAGCCCAGTCACCAGACATGAACATTATTGAGCATGTCTGGGGTAAGATGAAGGAGGCATTGAAGATGAATCCAAAGAATCTTGATGAACTCTGGGAGTCCTGCAAGAACGCTTTCTTTGCCATTCCAGATGACTTTAATAAGTTATTTGAGTCATTGCAGAGATGTATGGATGCATTCCTCCAAGCTCATGGGAGTCATACACAAGATTCATTCTTTTTCTACTGCACCATGACTTCATATTCCATAATGTACATTATTTCTGTTAAGTGACAAGACTTTTGTCTAAGCAAAGTCAAACCTTACTGTCCTAATTAATTAAAAATCAAGGCATGATCATATTTTATTTTGCTAAAATAAGCGTAATCTAGAGGCCTTTGCCTTTCATATAAGCCACTTTTGATGCCAAATGATCAACTAGAAGTCGAGTTATTATTTGTTGTTTATAAAACTTGGATAGATGACAAGACTTTTGTCAGGAAGTGTATTTCAGGCATAACTTTTACATTTTTTTATTTATTATTTACATGTTTTTACCGCTTTACTTTAAGTTTCAGTTAATGTCATACAAAGTTCATTGTTATGAATGCAGCCAATGTTTGAAATGTTATGCTACTAATTTACTCTTTTCTAATATAGTCAACTAAATAACATTTACTATCTAGTGAGTATTGAATGAATGAAAATTACGCTGTAAAAAATTAAATCTGTAAAATTTACAGTTGTTGTGTTTGGCAGAATTGTACTGCTAAAAATATGATAGAAATGTAAAAATGGCACAGTAAATTACCGTATTTCATTATATTTACAGTGCCAATACACCAGTGTTTTGATATACTAACATCTACACAATATACTTTTTTACACTTTGTTGCACATTGTCACAGACAAAAACACAACAAAAACAAGATGTGAAGTAAAAGTGATGTTTTTTACAGCAATATAATGTAGTCAAAGTGCTTTCAAAATAAATCTATTCGTCTGTCCTACAGATTTTTGTCGATTTACCCTTAATATGAGTAAATGCTTAGTGACAGAGTCTCCGATCATGTGAGCTTTGACTTTCCCAGATTGCACACTTTTTTCTTTCTGGAAATCACTCCAAACCCAATAGTGGCATGTGTGCTCTTAATGATGAAAGAGAACAAAGTAAACCTGACATGAACAGGACAAAGACTTTGAACTTCAGGAGGGAGGGAGGGATGATGGGTAATGGAGGTGTCTGAGTTCATCGTGTCCCTCTGCTGTGTTCAGGTTCAGGCCACCGTGGTCGGATTTCTGGCTTCCATCGCCGCCGTCATCTTTGGCTGGATCCCAGAGGGCAACTTTAGGATGGGTCATGCCATCCTGCTCTGTGCCAGCAGCGTGGCCACCGCATTCATCGCCTCTTTGGCTTTAGGTGAGACCATTGAGTCCTTCTGACCTGCAGTAAACTGACACAGAGCAGTTTAAACTGGACCCTTGTGTATGGGGAAACATCCCAAAACAAATCCCATGAAATGTTTGCACAACATTACATCACAGAGCAACTGTTTTAGATGGAACTTTTTAGGACACAACATATACACAGTTGAAGTCAGAATTAGTAGCCCTCCTGAATTATTAGCCCCCTGTATATTTTTTTGAACGAATTTCTAAACTGATTTTTTTATCTTTGCCATAATGACAGCACATTATATTTTACTATATATATATTCAAGATACTAGTATTAAGCGCTTAAAGTGACATTTAAAGGCTTAACTAAGTTAATTAGGCAAGTTAGGGTAATTAGGCAAATCACAACGATGGTTTGTATAAGATTGTATACGTTTGTTAAGTGTGACGTCACTCGAAGTGGCTTCCAGGTCCAAGTACTTTATCAAACTGTATAGGGTGACTCAACATATGAGAATAATAAATGTTTACAAAGCTATGTAATACTTTCAAAAATCATGATTACAATATGTATATATATCTAGGCCTAATATACGATGGCCAGAAAGTGATTTATTTTTTATAAATTGTTAAAATGGTGTCTGTGAAGCAGCAAGTCCAGTTGTGTATGGACCATGATTTTATGTAAAATTCCCTTTTAATGTGTGATATGACTAAAAAGTGGTCATAAACAAATATTTTCTTAATTCAAATGAATAGCGGCTTCGACCCAGAAACAGTATTTCATACATCACGACTGTCTCTAGACAGTGGAAAGCAAATATTGTTTAAGAGGGCATAATATTGACCTTAAAATGGTTTAGAAAAAAAATTTAAAACTGCTTTTAATCTAGCCAAAATAAATAAAAAAAAAAAATAAAAAATAACATGAGGGCGAATATATATTTAGAAATAGAAAGGTAATACATCTCAATTCAGATTTAAACCATTATTTGCAAAATAAACGGACACAAGTGTTTTTCTTTTATACGTTTCTTTATTTTATTTTATTTTTTGCAGTTTATTATAATAACGTTCATTTGGTTCTACTCTTTTTTTTTTGGACTGTGATTTTAAGATGTGCTTAGTATTTAATTTGATTGCCAACAAAAACTTATTTTAGTAAAAATGTGATATATGAAAATGGTATATATGATGTAAAAAAGTAGTTATGAATTTTGTTTGCTATCATAATTGTATTTTAGATATTAGTTTGTCTCAGTTTTGGTGTACAACAGTGCTCAACATATATGAGTACACCCCACATAAATGTCTAATTTAAATTCATATTTTTAATAGGAAGCTATATAATATTATATTATATACATTAGCTTAGTCAGTACTGAAGCCAAATCTGGATAATGGTTCAACAATTAGTTGCCCAAATTTATATGTTTAGTAAAAATATTAAATAAAATGTTTAAAAATAGCAAAAAATTAAGAAAAACAAAAAATATAGACAATTTTGTTGAGATATTGTAGTTTGTAATATTTTGCATGGATTTAAATGTATTATCCTTTTATTTCTAAAGATGTTCTGTGATTTGACTATTATTTCTGTTTTGTTCAAATGCACCTATATATTACCCATATTCACTGAGAAATGGATCAAAATATGCATTTTTAAAATAGGGTGTACTCATTTATGCTGAGCATTGTATATACTTTGTATTTACTGTATACTGTGTATTTATTTAGATAAGCAACATACAATATATGTTATATTGTATTTCCTTTGGTTGCAAATGCATCTCAATTTTAATTTTAAATTATTTATTTTAAAATCCAACCTGATGTATTTTCTTTAGTAGCCTCAAAACTTCACTATGATTTTTTTATACTATAATGATAATTATAAACTGAAAACGGAAATCTGCAAATTAGCAGTTTTCTGTATTGTGTGATTTTTTTTTCTCATTTATTTCTGCTTTTGAATTGCATTATAGGATCTTAATCTTACTTACAACAACTTTTAACCTTGAAAAGTTTGAAAAAGTGACTTTTATTGAAAGTTTTAATAATTTCAAGTGATATATTGTCTGGGTTGCTGTTGCATATTGCTCTAAAAATCCTTGTAATAAACTGCCAGCACATTTTCTGTTATTTTACAGACTTCTCTTTTTCTATATCGTACATCATATAATTTCAAACTACTAAAATGTCAATGAAAGTCACTTTGTTAAACTGTAGAGTTGAATTATCAACATCTAAAGTCAACAGAGCAAAGATCAACATCCCATAATGCAAATCACAACCGTAAATAAACCGAAAGCACTTGTGAATAACGAAATACAGAAACTGTTAATTCACTGATATTTTTTACAGTGCACTATAATGTTATAATAATTTTGTATTTTAGAAGTTTTACAATGCTACAATGACACAATAGCTAGGTTTTCATCCACCTATTTGTATGCACATTTTAGATTTGTGGTTACTGGAAAAGTCAAGATGGACATATATTTTTAAAATGCGTATAACTGAATATATACAGTAATTTTGTTTTCTTTAACTTATTGGATGGAAATCCTGCTTTATTTGCACGTCTTTTATGCCATATTCAAGGTTTGCATGTAATTTTAATTTGCATCTTTGGATAAAAACATAGCTAGTTATACAAATCCATAACAAACAAAAAAACAAGCATTTTTTTTCCTTGTGATATCTTTAAATAAATGGCCTAAAGCAATGTTCTTATCTCATGTATTGTGTTGTATTCATTGTGTCATTTAGTTTTTGCAACTAAAAAAAGAAACATGCTAATTGGTAAGATCCAACTTATGTTTCTTTTTGATCCTGAGAACACAAAGCAACTCTTAATTCCTCATTTCAGCACCATAATGTAAATAAATCCAACAAAACAGGAGATATCAAACTCCAAGAATGCCTGCTCTTCATTGTTTGTCATTGACACACGATCTCCTGTGTTAATGCCACCATTTCAACACTAATTTGACAAATCTTTCCTCTCGACTTCCGCCCAGGTCTTATCATGATCGGGGTTATCATCGCATCCAGGAAGGTTGGCATAAACCCAGACAACGTGGCCACCCCTATTGCTGCCAGCTTGGGTGACCTGATCACGCTGTCGCTGCTGGCTGGCATCAGCACAGGCCTGTATAAGGAGCTTGGTGAGTCTGTGCCACCCGTCGTTGGCTGAGCTCTTTAATGGGAACACTGCTGTAATCCGATATGTTCTGTTCCGTCAGTGCTTTTCCTGATACAAATGCAGGCATGGTAGAGTTTCTAGACTTACAGTTGAAGTCTGTATTATTAGCCCTTCTGAATTATTAGCTCACCTGTTTTGTTCCCTAATTTTTGTTTAATGGAAAGAAGATTTTGAACACATTTCTAATAACTGATTTATTTTATGTTTGACATAACAGTACATAATATCTGTCTAGATATTTTTCAAGATATTAGCATTCAGCTTAAAGTGGCATTTAAAGGCTTAACTAGGTTCATTAGGGTAATTAGGCAAGTTATTGTATAATGATGGTTTGTTCTGTAGACAATCATATAGCTTATAATATATTTTTATTATATATTATAGCTAATAATTTTGACCTTAAAATTATTATTTTTTTAATTTAAAACTGATTTTATTCTAGCTAAAATAAAACAAATAAGACTTGCTCTGTTTAACATCATTTGACATCAAATTCACAGGAGGGCTAGTAATGTTTATTTCAGCTGTACGTTTACATTCATATTCATTGTCAGATTTGAAACCGTATATTAAGTGTCAGACTTTTAACTTATAATTAGGCCTACACAGAATCTGCACGCAGAAATCAACAGAATTTTTTAGGCCAAACATAAAAAAAGTGTTAAAAATCCAACCTGTTTTTTTTTAGTAGCCTTAAATCTTCTATATAGATTTTTTCTATATATTTTTGTCTATTTATTTGCTTATAAATGTGTGTAAATATATATTTATTCAGTTTATATATTAATTTTAGTAATATTATTAAATAATATGCTAATATTTATATGATTTATTTACCGTAGAGTTTATGAAGTAATAGTTTAATAGTCTTTTTAGTAGATATACTATGAGAGAGACTTGCTTTTTTACCAAACAAGTGAATCTGCTTGCATTGGCATTGTAAATCTTAATTACTCATTCATTCGTTTTCCTTCGGCTTAGTTCCTTTATTTATCAGGGATTGCCACAGCAGAATGAACCACCCATTTATCCAGCATGTGTTTTACACAGCAACTGCCCTTACAGCCGTAACCCACTACTGGGAAACATCCATACACACATACATAATGGTCAATGTAGTTAATTCAATACACCTATAGCTAGGCCCACATGGAATCTGCGTGCACAGAAAAAGTGGCTCTAGATGGATTTGCATTGTAAACATTAAATCAGTTTAAAAATTATTATTTTTTATTTCATATATTGAGTTTTTAGTTATGACACTCCCAAAATAATACTGCATAAATCCACAGATTTTTTACAAAATTCTCCATAGAAATAGCAAAAATTGTCCGCAGACTCGGTCTGGCCCTACCTATAGCGCATGTCTTTGGACTGTGGTGGAAACCAGAGCACCCTAAGTAACCCACATCAACAAGGGGAGAACATGCAAACTCCACACAGAAATGCCAATTGACCTGTCCAGAACTCAAACCAGCGACCTTCTTGTTGTGAGGCGACAGTGCTAACCACTTCACCGCCACGTGAAGCCACCATGTCACCGCAACCTTAATTTTAAAAAAAAGTTAAAAAGTGATTCTTATTTTATTTCATGTTCATGTATTTGGTTACTATACTCAAAATCATTTGGCATTTTACACAATTCTATGCAGAAATTGCAAAACAATTCAGGCCAATAAAATCAAAATGATTGTTTAAACAAATTGTTTATTATTTTGACTTATTATTATTATTATTTGTAGCATTTTATTATTATTAATTAAAGATGGATGGATGGATGGATGGATGGATGGATGGATGGATGGATGGATGGAAGGAAGGATGGATGGATGGACAGACAGATGAATATACCGACATACAGACAGACAGATAGATAGATAGATAGATAGATAGATAGATAGATAGATAGATAGATAGATAGATAGATAGATAGATAGATAGATAGATAGATAGATAGATAGATAGATAGATAGATAGATAGATAGATAGATAGAATAGAATAAGTTAGTTAAGAAAGGCTTAAAAACGTTTTAATTAGGAAGCAGTTCTGTCACGGTATGTTGAAGAGACAGATACAAAAAGGTAGGATCCAAGTGCATTTAATGAAGAGATAATCATGCAGATAACAGAACAAAACAAAAACAAGAAACTAAGGCAAGTTACGGGAACACAACGCATAAACAACATATTAACCAAAAACAAACGACTCGGTACAAACAAACGGATGCAGGGTGTATAAACAGTCCAAACAATCAACAGTGACAGGATTCAGCTGTGGGTGTATTCAGTGGAAGTGAAACCTGGTGTATGTGTAGCGGAATGAAGGGATTTGTAGTCCATGACTGAATTGTAGTTCACCAGCGATCTCTGCAGTCCTCGAGCGTTGGTGAACATGACAATAAGCATGCTTATTATTAATAAATTGGCTGTTTAGTGGTACTTTTAAAGTATGTATTAGGCATAACTATCCCTTATCCAACCCAGACACATAACCCTACCTTACTATTAAATTAGATTAGATCATTTTGTTTATTGAATTAGTCATTTATTGAGGCAAAAGTAATAGTAAATGGTTTGCTAAAAGCGAATGTGTCTCTAAGAGTTTAATTTCCAAATCTTTAATGAATAAGGTTTAACGTGAATCTGTATTAACAATAACGTTTTATTGCTTCCAGAGCATTTTCTAGGTTAACTGCCATAAGAAGACATAAAAGACAACCATTAACTAACACTATCATTGTTGACAAACTGCTTTGAGCTGGCCTGCTACTATTATCAGCCTTATCACTACAAACCTACATCCAGTGTTACAGAGGCAGCTTTCATTTGCATAGCTGGAAGTTTTTTCCTCCACAAACGATCTTTGAAGAGATTTTAGATTTGTTTGTGACTTGCATTCGATTGCATCACATCAGTGCAGTGTTTGAAGACTGGCGTACCGATGCTAAAAACAAATTCAGCTTTGCGTCACATGAATTAATTAGATTTTAAGAAGCATCGCACTATAGACCCTATAGAGCAAACTGTTTCTTCTGACAAGGTGATCATGTGATGTTTTGCATTTTTAGTTCTCCTGAGTATTGTGTTTAGTCAGATTTTTCCCAAGTCATTGTGCTGAGTCACATTGGAGCTGGTGAGGCATGTTGAGGCTTGTTTTCTCCATCAGTTTTTTATAAACAGAATGGCTGGATTTACACTGCATGCTTCAAGTGGCACAGATCAGATATGGCTAAAATAGCTCAAAATACCCCAAGTATAAATAATGTACAACTCTTTAAGTGAAGTTTATTCATAAACTAATTTCGAGAGGATCACGTGCTTATGATTGACACGGCTGGCCCTGAGTCAAGCTAATGTACGAACCACCAACCAGACTACTTCTAACCAAGTATAAATAACCAAACACCTTACCTTTAGTCATCTTCGCCTTGAAGAATCCCCCCTTCCACCCCTTCGCCTCCTTTGTCTACAGGGCAGCACGGCGGCCCAGTGGCTACCACTGCGGCCTCACAGCAAAATGCCTCCAGTTCGGGCATCTACCCAAACGATCAGCATTTTCGTGTGGAGTTCATGTTCTCCCCGTGCTTGCGTGGGTTTTCCCCGGGTCCTCCGGTTTCCTCCCACACTCCCAAAAACATGACACTTAAGTAAATTGACTAAACCAAATTAGCACCAAATTCGATTCAATTCTGTCAGCAACGCATCACCTTAGCAACCCTCATGCAGCAGGAGGGAGGGGGGTTCTCGAGATCTACCCGAGCTCAAACTCCCCTCTCGCCCTGCAACGGGAGGGAGCCCCGGGCTCGAGGCACTCATGAGCTTGGGGCTCTCTCCCAGGACAGCATGCCAAACTAGCTTATCAACAATCATCAGCTAAGTGTGAACTCTTGAAATAAGCCACATTTAGGCTTTGATCCAAATTGTGCTGTTTTGGTGACTGCCGCTTTAAATTCAAATGATCTTTTCAAAAGAAGGCGGAGCTATGAATTCTTGTGTTCCAGCATAGCGGCAGATACAAAACAGGACTAATGTTATCTATTTCATTCATTTTTCCTCCGGCCTAGTTCCTTATTTTTCAGGGATCAGCACAGTGGAATGAACCGCCAACTATTCCGGCATGTGTTTTACCAGTCTCACATTCTTCACACACAATCTTCACACACACACACACACACACTACGGACAATGTCTTTGAACTAGGGGGAAGCATCTGGACCATGCTAACTCCACACAGAAATGCCAGTTGGGCCCAGTTGGGACTCAAAGCAGCAACTGTCTTGCTGTGGCGACAGTGCTAACCACTGAGCCACCATGCCGCACGCATCTAAAATTCGAGATATGTACAGTAATCTTAGTTGCTGACAATATCTTCCGCAGGTACAGTGCAAAAACTCTTAATGATGGATGGCTGCTTCTCACTTAGGGCTGTTTATGCTAATAAGGGAGAGATTGTCACTAATGTATGGGACTTTGAGCTGGAGAATGTCAATCAAAGTGTTTCTGCAGACTGTTTTTATGAATTGTGTTTATAAAAGCATAGAATTAATTACATTTTACTATTAGTGGTTTGTTAAATTCACACACTGTTGACACACAACAGTGTTTAAACCCCTTATGAAAGTGATTTTGCGAAATAGGAATAAGACTAGTCTCATTATACTCATCAGACTCTTTGATTTCCCCGTAGACAATGACACTCTCCAAATTGGAGGAAATTGTCTTATTTAGATTGCATTGCGATGAGATGACACAAGAAAACGTGTTGTTAGCATTTTTGCGGCAAAAACCTTAGTATTTTGATGTGTGGTGAACAACTGTGGAGTGAAAGTGTACACAAGGAAACATTTATGGTATGATTGCATGTTTATGTGTTATCAAACCTCACACGACCAGACTGTCTGGATGTAAACATTGATAAGTGCCAAAATGAAATTAGTAGGTCAACCACGCTTTCATCTTAGCCAACTTCTCCAGAATATGGGTGCAATATCGCACCCAGAAGAATGTTGGTTGTTGCGATTTCTCAACCAACTTTTTTTTTTATTATTTGTCTCAACTGGTGTTGAATTCCAGACTCTTGCTTGAAAATTGATAGTCATGGCAGCTCAGTTTAAACAAAGAGTTTTTTTAGCATTATTTTACAATGACTTCGACTTGGAAAAGTTGATATTTTTGTTTTTTTATAAATGAATTGCCAAATTTGTTTCATTTTTAACCCTTTAACTGTCTGCTCTACCAAACGGTTGACCATTTTTTTTACTTTTTTAACTAATGGCTGTTAAAGTCATTTAAAGAATGACTGTTTTAAATAATGGCTTACACACAGCATTGTTGGTTAACAAAAAATCAAACAAACATAATCCTGTTGCACTTCTACGCTCGATTTTGGGTTTTTCTGTAAAAACAAACAAACAAGAAAACATTTTAAATGATAATCTGAAATATTTCAGACTTCATATTGTCTGATTCTTTATAGTATATCTATTAAGTCCAGTACTTTTACCATAAACCAACACATCAACCATTTGGTAGAGGCTGATATTTTAGAAATTATGGGATGTGTTAAAAAATGCATTGAGTGTGTTAACTAGCGACATTAGGAGTAAAGAAATGCAATCCAAATATTACTTTTCTTGGTGAGGCAGTGAATTATCAAATTTAAAGATATTTTGTTCATTTAAAAGATAATTAATAATACTACAATAAGTATTATTCAGTAATTAAGTATCAGTGAATTAAAAAATAATAATTTTAAAGACAATAGTATTAGCCCCTTTAAGCTAAATTTTTTCCGATGGTCTACAGAACAAACCATCATCATAAAATAACTTGCCTAATTACCCTAACCTGCCTGGTTAACCTATTTAACCTAGTTACGCCTTTAAGTATCTTGAAAAATATCTAGTCAAATATTATTTACTGTCATCATGACAATGATAAAATAAATCAGTTATTAGAAATGAGTTATTAACACTATTATGTTTTTAAAAAAGTCTTCTCTCCGTTTAACAGAAATTGGGGGGAAAATAATCAGGGGGTACTAATTCAGGGGGGCTAATGATTCTGACTTCAACTGTATATAAAAGTAAAAATATCAGGTGACCCCTGATGAATAAGGGACTAAGCCGAAGGAAAATTAATGAATGTATCATATTTACTTAACTTACAATTACTGTGATTATTTTTTTACATCCAGAATTCAACAATTATGCCAACCCGATGGTTTGTGCCTTCTTCGTGGCTCTGACGCCCATCTGGGTCCTCATTGCCCGGCGGATTCCCTCCACCCGGGAAGTGCTGTACTCAGGCTGGGAGCCTGTCATCATCGCCATGGCCATCAGCAGGTGGGGAAACAGCCATTAAGATAAAGACGCTCCATTTCCTCATGACTCTTAATGATGGATGAATCACTCACTCCAGCTGACAGCCAGTGTCAATCATTTATCTGTCACCAGAGATGTTGAAATTATACTTATCTTTTTAAAACAGTGTCGGAGGCCTCATTCTGGATAAGACCGTATCAAACCCCAACTTCGCAGGAATGGCCGTTTTCACTCCGGTCATTAACGGTAAGCACCCGTATCTCCTCGTATCTCGTGTTTCTGTCAGTTGTTACTCACGTGAGATCATTGTGTATGTTGTTTGTTTTGCCCTGCTGTAGGTGTGGGTGGTAATCTGGTGGCGGTACAAGCCAGTCGTATCTCCACCTACCTGCACATGAACGCCCTGCCCATTGTAGAGCCAAACCCAGCCCCTCGCAAATGCCCTACTCCATGGGGCACCTTCTTTGGGTCTGGTGAGTCACGTCATTTACTTTAGCATTAATAACGTAATTATTGACTAATAAAGGTGGAAAAACCAAGCACTGAAGTAACAGTATAGATACACAAATAAAATATGATTACAATGACTAATCTAATTATAAAAGGACTAAAAGTATATATATATATATATATATATATATATATATATATATATATATATATATATATATATATTAGGGATGTAACGGTATCAGAATTTCACGGTACGGTAATACCTCGGTATGAATGTCACGGTACGGTATTTATTGAATCATTTACAGGAAAAAACAAAACTTAAGAAAATACTCCAAAAAAGTGCCGAAAGTGTCAATGACATACAAATTAGCCATCTATCTGTAAGCTTTGAAACAGGAACTTCAATTTTAATAACAAAAAAATATTAAACCATGTAAAAAAAATAAAGTTTCAATTTAGTATTGTTGAAAACTCATCACATTCAACATTTAATCACTCACTCACTTAGATAGATATGGGTTTTAAGGAAAATTATCATATAAATATAATCTGGTAAAAGCTGGTATCTCTGGGTATTTACAATGTCCCCTGCAACAGAAAAAACCCTCTCATTTGGGACTGAGGTTTCTGGGACAAGAGAGATATGACTTGGCCCAGGTTGACAGCAGTGGGTAACATTGTGCATTGTCTTTCCCCAACTTGAGAGGACAAACCATGAGTGAGATAGAGATCTCATGTCTGCATCAATCTGAACAGTGTGCTGTGTTTCTGCAGTCCCCATGACTGTTATTAGTCGTGTTCCCCAACTTGCAGGCACGTGCACACACAGGGCTCAACCTGTGCAGTGCACATGCCCTTTTTAGTCTTGGATAGAAAGTTCCCTTCCAAAATGATCAAAAGTGCCCCCGCGACGCGATACACCCGCGATACACTGCTTTACAGTACGCGCGCGACAACACAGCTGATCAGAACGCGCGACAACACAGCTGATAAGAACTCGCGCGACAACACAGCTGATAAGAACTCGCACGACAACACCGCTATTCAGTACGCGCTCGGCAACAACACCTGCTTCCAGCTTCCAGCTCTTTTTGATCCTCGCTTCTAGCAGCACACTCCATTTCCGCATTACTGGATCTGTAGCGACAACAGACCGCAAGGGATTATGGCCAAGCCTGGGCTGATGGGAATTGTAGTTTCCGCTACCTCCCGTTCGCTTCATTCGCCTGAGCAAATTTTCTCAGAAGACCTATAGTTTTACCGAGTCATGCGACTACGGTACTATCGAAAAAAATTAATATTGCGCTATGACGGTATTTACAATACCGTTACATCCCTAATATATATATATATATATATATATATATATATATATATATATATATATATATATATATATATATATATATATATTGTATTAAGAAAAAATTTAATCGTTATCTGTAGACTCACTCTGACCAGATCATTTGAATCATTACGTCATTACCTGTAGAATCACTTTGAATAGATTATTTGAATCTGTGGGTAAGTAACTTTAGACTCACTTTGACCGGATCATTTGAATCAGTAAGTTGTTAATTGTAGACTATGTGGCTGTGAAAATATCAGAATTAATTTAAATTAATGATTCATTACCTGTAGAATTACTTGGAATAGATCATTTGTACTAGTGAGTCATTACTTGAAGACTCGCTCTGACCAGATCATTTGAATTAATGAGTCAATAACTGTAGAATCACTATAAATGGATCATTTAAATCTTTGAGTGAGTAACTGTAGACTCGCTATGGCTGGATCATTTGAATCAGTGAGTCAATAACTGTTGACTCACTCTGACCAACCCATATGAATCATTGAACTGTAGACTCCGTGGCTGTGAAGATATCAATCGAATCAATAAGTTGTTATCTGTAGATTTACTCTGACCAGTTCATTTGAATCAGTGAGTGATTGACTGTTGACTCGCTCTGACAAGGTCATATCAGTGAGTCATTACCAATAAAATCACTTTGAATAGATCAATTGAATCTGTAAATGAGTAACAGTAGACTTGCTAAGGCCGGATCATTTGAATCAGTGAGTCATTACATGTAGAATCACTTAGAATAGATAATTTCAATCTGTAACTAAAGACTCACTATGGCCGGATCATTTGAATCAGTGAGTCAATACTTGTAGAATCACTTGGAATAGATCATTTGAATTAGTGAGTAAGTAACTATAGACTTGCTCTGATTGGATCATTTGAATCAGTGAGTCATTATCTGTATAATCACTATGAATAGATCATTTGATTCTGTAAATAACTGTAGACTCTCTCTGACCGGATCATTTGAATCAGTGGGTCATTACTTGTAGAATCACTTAGAATAGATCATTTGAATCAGTGAGTAAGTAACTGTAGACTCGCTCTGACCGGATCATTTGAATCAGGGAGTCATTACCTGTAGAATCACTATGAATAGATCATTTGTACCAGTGAGTCATTAATTGTAGAATCACGATGAACAGATCATTTGATTCTGTAACTGTAGACTTACTATAGCCGGATCATTTGAATCAGTGAGTCATTACCTGTAGAATCACTTAGAATAGATCATTTGTTCTAGTGAGTCATCATTACTTGTAGACTTGCTCTGACCGGATCATTTGATTCTGTGAGTAACTGTAGACTTGCTCTGACCGGATCATTTGAATCAGTGAGTCATTGCCTGTAGATTCACTTTGAATAGATCATTTGAATCTGTGAGTGTGTAACTTAGACTCACTATGACTGGATCATTAGAATCAGTGAGTCATTACCTGTAAATTCACTTTGAATAGATAATTTGAATCACTAAATCAATTTAACAAGTTATATAGCAAGAACCGTAACTGAAAGTTTCCAAAACCAGAAAGTACAGATCCTTAAATATGTACTTAAGTCCAACAGTGAAGTAGGAATACTGTAAGTTATTGTCCATCACTGCAGTGTACTGGTCAGTAGTGCCCTGTTCATGCTTCTGAAAGACTCTCTCTGTTCATCAGGTGTGAATTCTCGATCTGCCAAAGTGCTGTTTCTGCTGGTCGCTCCTGGTCATCTGGTCTTCCTCTACACTATTAACTCTATGCGGGGAGGACACACCACTCTCACTTACATCTTCATTGCTTTTTACCTGGCTGCTGCTCTACTACAGGTACACCTGAAAATCTGCTTATTATTACAAGGAAATAATCTGGGCTTCAAAAAACATGGGAGGGGGAATTTGGAGGAAATGTGTCATCATAGTTCAATGCAAAAAAAAATCTAAATTATACCTTGCATGAATAAATACTATAAATACACTACCATTGAAAGATTTAGGGTTTTAAAAAGTACTTATATCAGAAATGGTGCATTAAATAGATATATAACATTAATAGGTAATATTTATAGATAGACAAGATAGACATTTACGTAGATGTGAATATAATAAATAGATTTTTTTTTGTATATACACTTCCTGACAAAAAATTTTTCCCCTATCCAAGATTTAGGAACAACAAATATTAAATTGTCTTCAAGTTGACCATTTGGTATCAAAAGTGGCTAATATGAAAGCAAAGGTCTCTAGATTACGCTTATTTTAGCAAAATAAAACATGATCATGCCTTGATTTTTAATTATTTAATTAGGACAGTAAGGTCTGACTTTGCTTAGACAAAAGTCTTGTCACTTAACAGAAATAATGCACAGCATAGAATATAAAGTCATGTTACAGTAAAAACATGATTAACATTGTCTCTGACTCCCATGAGCTTGGAGGACTGCATCCATACATCTCTGCATTGACTCAAATAAAATCATCTGGAATGGCAAAGAAAGCGTTCATGCAGGACTCCCAGAGTTCAAGATTCTTTGGATTCATCTTCATTAAATTCTTCTCCTTCCTCCTCCACCTTACCAGACATAATAATAATTAATAATGTTCATGTCTAGTGACTGGACTGGCCAATCCTGGAGCAATATAGCATATAGTGTGTGTATATATATTGATTGATAAAAAAAAGTATTATTTAAAAGACATTTAGAGGCTTTTGCATCTGAAATCGTTGTATATATTTGTATATAACTGGTCACACTTTATTTTAAGGTACAGATGTCACTATTAATAAACCATTAAGTATGACTTTTTACTGCTTATTAAAAGTTATTTAATAGTAGGCAGTAGTTACTGTAAATTTCTGTATAAATTAGGATTAGGGATGTAGAATAATATCACTCAGATTATGTGCTTTATAAGTATTAATAAACAGATAACATCATAATAATAAGGCACTAGTTAATAGTGAGAATTTGTACTTAAAAGTGTTCGCATACTGTAAAATGTAAATCATAAAATATTTTAGTATTATCCAAAATATACTGTTTTTATATTTATTCCAACTTAGATTATTCAATTTTTCATGAGTCTCACAATTCTACAATTTCAAATATTTAGGCTTTTCTTCATCGGTGTTAAACTGCTTTGACACAATCAACATTGTAAAAAACACTACAGAAATAAATATGAATTGAATTAGTGGAGCAGCTCATCGGTGGAGTTGTTCTTCAGTGGATCAGCTCCTTCAGCAGTGTCATTTACACTGAAATAAACTGAACTGAACATCACCAGTGACATTTATACTGAACTAAAGCTGTTTTAGGTTTCTAGAACTACAGTAGCATTCTCCACTACTCTCCTGCCTGCCTGAATTGCTGGAATTTTCCACAACTTGGAATGTCATGGCTCTCTTTTCTTCCTCTATGCAGGGATCCCATACTTCATACAAAAGCTTGAATTTCAGACTTATGGATGCAAGGCCTGAAAGTACTTTAAAGAAAACACAGTTCAAAATATTAGGATAAACAAAGGGACAAACATTTAATATCATTTGAAAAGCACATTATTAACAGTATTAAATTGAACAAATTTGACTAAAGTTCATTCAACATGACACATTCAAAACACCATCATTAGGCTGACTTTTTCATGTAAATATTAAGCTTAAGTGAAATGTGAAGTACAGTAAGGATTTTCATTGCGGTACATATGCTGGGGGAGTAAAAAAACGTTGCGTCATTTGAAGTTAATGGTGTTTTAAAAAGTCCCTGAATGTGCTGTTTATTAAAGAGTGGGAACCCTGTGTATGTTAAGCTGATTTGACACAATCTGCATTGTAGAAATGTGTGTTATAGAATCAAAGATGAATTGAAATGGTCTGTCTTTCCATCTAGGTCATTATCCTGCTGTATCTGGCAGACTGGATGGTGAACTGGATGTGGCGTCGAGGGATGGATCCTGACAACTTCTCCATCCCCTACTTGACGGCGCTGGGAGACCTGCTGGGGACAGGCTTCCTGGCTCTGTGTTTCCACATCCTGTGGCTAATTGGAGATCGGGACACAGATGTGGGTGATTGATCCACGCTGCCTTTTCCTCTGACTCTGACTGTCCAAGCAACACACACACATGACGTCTTTATTTATAATGCCACATAGAGAAATAATATCTGTATTGTTATGGCTACCACGGTTACCATGATTATATTGATGACATTATTTGCTTTAGTATCGATATATAATTTCGTTGTTGTTTAGCTACCGGGAGAACGACAATCCTCATTATTTTTCAATGGGGATGTTCGGCCCGATCTTACAGCCACTGGCTGCATGTAAAGATTACACCAACGTAAACTTGAAATACTTCACGAGAGGCAAGCGAACGTAGAATGCGTAATCACCAAGTGCTACAAAATGGTTTAATGATATAAAACTTACGGACTCAAAATATAGACAAAAAAAAACATTTCTGGACCATCATGTTATTCTTAGATAACATTTCAGCCTGTTGATTGGCTCACGTGGGTCTTAAACGGGACTGGTAAAATATACTCTTAAAGTAAAGACTGTTTAGCGAACGCCTTGTTTAATTAACACTTTTCAGCATCTAAAATTGCTTTAGTAGATCTGCTTGTGGTTACAGAGAGACACAGCAACCAAAAGTGCTTCATAGTTTCAATGCAATCCCTGGAACACTCAAGTTGTGCAATGCCATTCGTGGGTTGTTTACGGTCAACGCCGTAAGGATAAAACACCAGACTTTGCCTCAATTGCGTACATACATTTCAGTATCAAACTAATCAAAGGCCTGAAAGACTGTTGTAAGCTTTTCAGACCGCTATCGTAAAGTCCACATCCGTTAATCTCCCAAATCTCTGGACTCAAAAACACTGGGACGGTTCATGTAGATGTTATTTTCAAAGGATGGAAAAATGCATTTTGCTAATTTTATTGAACTGGAAATTATATTTGACGATGCAATTTTTAAAGTATTCTATTATATAGAGTATACATCTGCCTTATTTTGCAATGCTTAAATGCTATTTTGCAATATTTGGGAAAAATAGCTAGAAGAATAAAGAATAATATTATTATTATAAGTGTAAATTAAGGATTTAAAGAGATAGATCACCCAAAAATGAATGTTTACTCATCCTTAAATCCATGTCATGATTTTCCCAAGTACGATGTGATCCTGGATTAACATCTATGTTGATCCTGGAATATCACTGTTGTTAGAAAATGTAATCCATACCTATTCCCTAGCCCTAAACTCAACCATATCGGTAAATCACTTCTAAAATCAGAGAAGAATAGTTAGATAACAATCATGTATAAGTGCATAAATCTAACCCTAAGCCTTAGTTCTGATTGGCTGATTGGAATGTTGTTCCAGGATCAACATAGATGTTGCAAATATTGTGGAAGTTGCAGGTTTCTAGCACTCTTCAAAATATGTTCTTTTGTGTTCAACAGAAGAAAGAAACTCATAAAAGTTTGAAACAAACAATTGATGACAGAACTTTCAATTTAGGGTGAACTATCCCTATAAAGGGGCTTTGAGTAGATTTCAAATCAAACATTGTCTACCAGTGGCCAATAAGTGAACTGCAACTTATTGCAAACCAATTAAAAGAGCCTGAATGTGATTCAGTGCCCTTGTTTTTTTTTTATCGTTTTGCTTAAAAGTAAAATAAAATGTAATTATATTTGCAGTGATACACTGATCAGAAACGGTAAATGATTATGTACTGCACGTTCCTCTGAATAATCCAATAAACACCACAAAAATCAGTCTATACATGCTTATAAAGACAACCTACAAAGTAATGGCGAGTTCTGACTGCACGATTTTTAAAGGAGTTTTAAAACACAGATCTTTCCACACTGCATGACTATCTGGGTTAGCGTTCTGGATGGATCGGGCAAGGAAGTTTCAAACTGCATGATGTTACAATATGAGTCATTGAGAACTTTGTCTAGGTCCGCAAACTACCTCACAACCAAACACACACGAGAAGTGACATGTAAACAACGCGAGGTCAAGTAGTATATGTTTTGGTATTAAATACGTAATGAGAAAGAAGCCTGTAGTGGGGAAGAAAATTTTACTTATTTTGCTCACCTGACAAATTTCCACTAGTTTTTCCTCCATTTCTTGGGTCAAAATAGACTGAAAAGAAGCTCTTTTAACTTCTCCTTCAACCTCCCTCTGGCCTGCAGATACCCACACTGTGAAATATTTGACCTTAAATTTACAGTAAACTGCTGGCTAATAATTGCATTACTTTCACAAAAAGGTACTGTATGTAAGATTACAGTATTTACTTTGAGGTACTTCATAACAATAATAATTCTGTAAATATTTCTATATATCAGAAAAAGTGCTAGTATACACCTTAATATGTATTAATTCTGTGTTGAATAAAATATTAATAGTGTTTGAATTCCTATAACCAAAGTGCAAAAAATATAGCCATTTTTAACAGTAATTTACTGTAATCATGATGCCTGCCTTAATTTCATAATAAAGAAATTAATACGTAAAATTCAACAGTTAAATCCTGTAAAGTGACACTAATGTATTTTACTGTGAAGAATGACAGTAACATGTTGTGAAACTCTGGGAATAGGGTATGTGCCGAGCTAGTGTTTTTCCCATACTGATAAACTTCCGGTGACCTGTTATTGTGAACTTTTTTCCATTTTTTTATGGTTTCTTTTACAGCATCGATAATGTAATGTCATTAAAATACATTCAGTTAAATAAACTTTGGCATTCATTTAGTTGCTCAAGCGTAAAATGAGACAAAAAGCCATTTACTCGCACGCACCCATCAGAATCGGCAGGCTAGCGCAGAAGCTTCATTGAATATACTGGGGTAAAATAAATGCTCATATTATAAAGACATGGCGGGGGGAAATGTAATTTAATGCAGTGCTTCTTGTACAATCTGAGACCCTCTTTATATCGGATATCACTCAGCTAGTGGGGATCACTGATTTTTAAAGAAAACAGACCCTAAACGTGCCGGTTTTTGCATTGGCACACAGTTCGCCGGAAGTGCTTAACCCAGGTTACTGGCAAATTAAAGGTCCTTTTAGCATGCTTCGGCATATACCCTATTTATTACAGTGCATACTAGTTGATGCTGCTCTCTGATTGGCTGTAGGTAATCACCGATGTTATTTTCAATCAGAACACGTTTCATATGGCATGCTTTTGAATAGCCAACAGCTCTGGATATTTAGCATGCAAAATATCTCACGGGTGTCATCGGCGATTCTCTCAGATGGCTTCTTTGATAGTTCACACTGTGTGATTGATACTCACGTGAACGAGCATCGATTTGCCTGTGATTTCTTAAAATCATGCAGTCTGAACTCAGCATATAGGATAATAAAAGTTATAAAGTCTTGTTACAAGCTGTTCACACATTGCCGATTAAAACATTTAAATATGTATGCATAGCATAGCCCCTTTTAATAATAATATCACAATAAGCCAACATAACAGACTAACAGCTCAAATAAATCATGCAAATGGCCACAAATGCGTTAAAAATAAAGTGGATACAATTGATCCTTCCCTAAGCTCCGCCCTCCTTGGTTACTGTCGCTAATGTAGACATGCATTACACACTTATTCCATAGAAATGAGCTGATTTGCACACAGAATGAATTTGCGATTATTTTCAAGTGAGCCGAAAGAATGTATGCAGTCTTATCAGCAATGTTCCGTAAAAGAAATGGTTAAATTATCCAGAAATGCAGAGCCTGAAAACTCGAGAAAGTCTAATTTGATTCAGTGGCGAAATGACCTTATGAGAAATATTTCCTGTTTAAAAAGCCAGATTTTGACACAAAGCTTAGCACAAGATCAATTGCTGAATTAAATTAGCCTAGTCTGGACAAAAGGCACCTGCTGATTGAGAGGAAACCTGCCTCAAAAGCCTTTTTAATACACAATATCAGTAGAGTTATGCAAAAAAATGCTTGTCAAAAGGGCTATTTTGACATCTGCACTGCTGGATGCTAGCTCAAAAACCTAGCTCTTGAAGCCATGCTTGATTTCAAATCCCCAAAATCGGTTTCTTGTTTCGTACTGGATAAGATGAGAATGATTTAACTTTGACTGTTTTTTAAAACCAGATTAATGCCACTCGGAAAGACTTGAAAGGCTAACGGGATGGCTAGCAGCTAATCTGTACCTCAATTCTCAGCCTTAAAAACACGTTAATCAGTAGCCGTCACTAATGTATCTTTATAACAACTAGCCGGGCATGTAAAGCCACTGACCTCCAGTTATCATCGAGCGTGTGTGTTTGTTAACGGTAATGTTCTCCTCCCATTGCTAAAGGGCTGAGTATAAACATCTCATATTGTGCCGGGCACATTAACATTCAAAATGCCTTTCTTTTTTTTTTTTGTGACGATATCTTCAACACACACACTTTTTATTTGGAAAGCCGTTTTAACAATTCATTTATGCTTACAGTATATCTATTTAAAAACAGTTTTTAAACACTAGTACTTATTTATAAGCCAGTAGTACTTATTCTTTAGATCACAGGTGTCAAAGCCAGTTACTGGAGAGCCGCAGCTCTGCACAGTTTAGTTCCAACCCTACTTCAACACACTTAAGCTGCGGTCACACTAGAGTTTGTGCGTGCAAAAAGGGGCGGGATTAAGATGATTAGACATTTAAAACAGCTAGAGATTGGTCCATGTTTTAAATTTATGTCCAGAGAGGTCATGTTTTGATCCTCGATTGGTCTCGCGCATTCAATGCGATTTCGCAGGTCAGCGTTCACCAAGCTTGAACTTTGCATCGCAGCAACCTGCGAAACTTGACGCACAAACTTGCGTTTCCAGTCTGACGCATTCGCATACGCATGTATGGAAGTATATGGGGAGAAAAGTGCAGTGTAACTGCAGCTTTACCTGTAGGATTCAAACAAGCCTGAAGGACTCAGTTAGTTTGATTAGGTGTGTTCAATTAGGGTTGGAACTAAACTGTGCAGAGATGTGGCTTTCCAGGAATTTGCTTTGACACCTGTGCTTTAGATAGTGCACTGTAAAAGAATAAATGGTCAAGAAGTCATGACAATATATGTTTTTAGTTAACTGTAACTTATTAAACTAAGTTAATCATGTTCCAACTTAATATTATGAGTTGCGCCAGCTGTTTTAAGTCAGTTTAATGTAATTTTAGTTCAATTGACTTATACGGTTAATTTGATTCACCCTACAAATTTAAGGCAACCAGTATTTTTTATTGTAGCACTTAATAAGTTTTTAATCTGTATGTTCTAAAGTGTAAAAAATATATCTGTGAATTCACAGGTGGTTTTTTTTGTTTTTTTTTTGTTTTGTTTATTTTGTTTATTTGTTTATTTTGAATTGCATTATGGGATGTTAATCTCCAATCTGTCTAGTTTTGATGTTGAAAATTCAACTCTGCAGTTTAACAAAGTCACGTCTATTGACATTTCAGTAGTATGAAAAATGATATGATATATAAGACATAACATATAGAGAGGAATAAGTCTGTAAAATAAAACTGGCAGCGTAATGTACACCGACCAAGACAATATAGCACATTAAACTATTCAAAATTACTTTTTAAAAAGTTTTTAAGGTTAAAAGTTGTTGGAAGAAGGATCAAAATCCCATAATGCAATTAATAATAATAATAATTAATAATTCCTTACATTTATATAGCGCTTTTCTGGGCACTCAAAGTGCTTTACACAGTGGGGGGAATCTCCTCATCCACCTCCAGTGTGCAGCATCCACCTGGATGACGCGACGGCAGCCATTTTGCGCCAGACCGCACACCACACACCAGCTGATTGGTGGAGAGGAGACAGTGATGCAGCCAATTGAGTATGGGGATGGTTAGGAGGCCATCATGGACAAAGGCCAGTGGGCAGATTTGGCCAGGATGCCGGGGTTAAACCCCTACTCTTTTTCGAAGAACATCCTGGGATTTTTAACGACCACAGAGAGTCGGGACCTCGGTTTAACGTCTCATCCGAAAGACGGCGCTCACTGAGCAGTATAGCATCCCCGTCACTATACTGGGGCATTAGGACTTACACAGACCGCAGGTTGGGCGCCCCCTGCTGGCCTCACTAACACCACTTCCGGCAGCAACCTAGCTTTCCCATGTGGTCTCCCATCCAGGTACTGACCGGGCGCAGCCCTGCTTAGCTTCAGTGGGCGACCATGTGAGAGTTGCAATTCATAATTCATAAGCAGAAACAAATGGGAAAAAGAATAAAACATCAATCGGAAAATACAGAAAACTGCTAATATTTAATTTACGGATATTTTATCAATAACTAGTACTTTAGTTCTTATTTATCAGACAATATTAATTATTTGATACTTGTCTTAATAACTTATATACTACCTAATACTATCTAATGTATATTAGTAGCTATTTATTAGAAACAGGTACTATTTTATTATTAACTAGTATTTTAGTTTGTAATTATCGGATATTAGTACCGGTAGTTATTTATTAGATACTAGTCCATCTGAATTGGATACTAATATTTATTCATTTGATACTATTACCTAACATATACTAAGAGTTTTTTATTGGGTACTTGTACTAATTGATTATTAACTAGTTCTATAATTGTTATTCATTTGAAAGTTAATTAATTATATGCTAATACAACAGTTATTGGTAGTACTTTATTATTAGCTTTTTTTTTTTTTATTTATTGGTTACTGGCTGTTGTTTGTTGGATACTAGTCTATTTAAATTAGGAAGTAATTATTCATTTGATACCAGTACCTAATATATGCTAGTAGGTAATTATTAGGTATTAGTAATAATTCATTATTAACTAGTATTTCAGTTTTTATTTACTGCATACTAGTAGTTATTCATTAGATGCCAGTAATAATTTATTATTAACTTTTATTTATTAATTTTAGTTTGTTTTTTAGTATTCAGTTGATATTTGTTCTTATTAATTAAATACTAACACTTATACATTTGATACTAGTACCTATTTTATACTAGTATTTATTTATTTGTTACTAGTACTCATTTATTTTTAACTAGTATTTTATTTAGTATTTACTGAATGCTAGTAGTTATTCATTAAGTATATTGCTATATACAGTATTTTTTTATTGAATTGTAATAGTTATTCGTTAGATACTAGTACTTGTGAGTTTTATATTAATACCTAATAAACATGAGTAGTTATTGATTAGACACTATTGTTTTTGTAATTATTACTAGTAGTTCTTATCTTACTAGTCACAACAGTATTTTTAATCAATGCCAAATCTGAATGAACCCGTTTATTGTTTTTTTTTTTTTTTACATTTTAAAAAGTACTATATTATAAAGGTTTACATGTTTCTTTTGAATAGATACTAGTAATTAGTCAATAAATACAAGTATTTGAGAAATAAGTAA